GGCGCACGCTGAGTGCGTGGTATATATTCCTGGCGCGCGTGTATACATTCCTATGCCTGCGTGCATGAATGCGTGCGTATATTACCTGTGGCGTGCCATACATTTCATATGCGTGCGCTGAATAGCGCGCATACTGTCCCTGTGAGTGCATTACATTTCTAATGTAGCTGGCGTGAGATGCCGCGCATACATTCCCTGTGCGTGCATACATTTCATATGCGTGCGTGAATAGCGCCGCACGTACATTACCTGTTGCCGTCATAACATTGTCAGATAGGTTGCGTGCAGGCAGGTGGATGTGGGAAGCAGCCCACGAGCGCGTGACAAACACATCCCACTGCAGCATAGTAGGCGTCGCAACGACGCTAGAAGTCTAAAAAAAGACTGATGGCAATTTATATGAAAACCGAACTTGAACGAGCAGAACATGAGCATGAACGCGATAGCCTACTACGTCAACATTCAACCTCGCCATTTAGTTAATGAAACAGAAAAATGTGTTTCGATGCTGTGGTGTCCCGCCGTGTTGCGTGTGGCGTTGCGCAGTGTTGCGCGCAGCGCGCCGCGCTGTGTAGTGTGTGTGTGTGTGTGTGATGTGGTGTGTGTGTGTGGTGTGTGTGTGTAGTGTTGGGCGGCTGTATTTGTGTGTGGTGGTGTGTGTGTGTGTGTGTGTTGCGTGCAGTGTGTCTGTGTACCCGCGTGTGTGTGGCTGTGTCGTGTGAGTGGCGTGTGCAAGTGCGTGTGGTGGGGTGTGGGTGGGTGTGGCGTGGTGTGTCGTGTGTGCGTGTGTGTGTGCGTGTGTGTGCCGTGTGCGGTGTTGCGTGCGTGTTGCATGTGTGTGGCGTGTGTGGGTGTGAGTGTGTCCGGGTCAGTGTGATGCTGTGTGTGTGTTGTGTGTGTTTTGTGGTTTGTGCGTGTGTGTGTGCGTGTGTGTGCGTGTGCTGTGTGCGTGTGTGTGTCGTGCTGCTGTGTGTGTGGTGTGTGGTGGTGTGTGTGTGTGTGTGTGTGTGGTGTGTGTGTGTGTGTGTGTGTGTGTGTGTGTGTGTGTGTGTGTATGTCTGTGTGTGTGTGTGTGCGTGTGTATGCGTTTGTACGTGCGTGTGCGTGTGCGCGCGTATGTGTGTGCGTGAGTTCGTGCGCAGTATTTGCGCAAATCTCGCCGTGCGTGAACGTGTGTGTACATGCGTGTATACGTGCGTGTACGTGCATGTATGTGTATGTGCGTGCGTGTACGTGCGTGTACGTGCGCACGCCCGCGCGTACACGCACGAGTCTCTCGCTTTAATCCGACATCCGCGTACATGTGCACACTACTAGCGCCGCCACCGTACATTATCGCCAACTACATTATCGATAACTCAATATGCCACAACTAATTGCAACATTAGATGATGATTGGTTTGCACGCGGCGATCATATAGCGCGCGATTGAATAGAACGAAGCGACGCGTCATCGAATTACCTGCAATCGGGTGATTTCGTCGGCTATGCTGCCCGCGGCAGGTGTCACACGAGGCGACGGGAGTAAGTAATGCAGAGGATCCAGCCAGTAGTGCTTTCTTATATATATCTATATCTTCTATATATATGTATATATATTCTCTCTCTCGATTGCGCAATTATTTATTAAATAATTCCTTTAATGGCGTCGTGTATCTGCAGTGAGCGAACGCGTATGTGTGTGGGTTATACATGTCGGTCTGTGCCCTGTGCCGTGACTCGTGAGCAATATACTGATGATGCTCTCGTTATAAATAATGGAGTGACCACCCGCGGGAAATAACCGCGTGAACGTGTGTATGTCCGCGTGTAAACGTGTACGATTATTCAACTACAGAACCGCCGCCCCTTGTTCTATATACCTCATCATCGCTGGCTTTATATTCATACATTTATTATTTACTGTTTACAAAGTGCGTGCGTGCGAGCGTTAGTGCATGTGTGGGCGTGAGTGAGAGTGCGTGCGTATGAGAGTGAGAGTGATGCCGCTTTTATACTGCGCACGACTTTAGCCCGCTTCTGAAGCGGGATAACTTTAGCTCGCGGATAAGTGTTTTCATACTGCTGAAACGGGAAACTTTTAGCTCGGGATAAGTCGTTTTAATACTGCCCAAGCTAAAGCGACTTTAGAGACGAGCTAAAGTCGCAGATAACCTTTTATACTGACGTTATGCTCGGGTTCTTGAAGGCGGACCTGAACCACCGTCCTAGGGATGGAATTAACTTTAGCTCAGCTAAGTGTTTTCGACCTTTTATACTGGGTTTATCCCGCTTCAGTGCGACCTGAAGCGGGATAAACCCAGTATAAAAGGGATATGAGTCGTGTGAGTGAGTGGCCGTGAGTAGTGCGTGCAGTGCGTGCACGCGGTGCGTCCGTAGCGTTGTCCGTTTCGTGCGTGACACGCGTGCGTCCTGCTGGTATGTTCGCGCGTGCGTGCGTGCGTGAGTGCGTGCTGAGCTGCGTATGCGTGCGTGCTGTGCGTGCGTGCTGAGTGCGTGCTCGTTTACGGTGCATGTGAGTGCGTGAGGTGGTGTGTACGTGGAGTGCGTGCCTTGTGCGTTATCTCCGTCGCGTGCGTGCGTGCGTGCGTACGTGTGACAGGTGTGTACTGCTATCATGTTTAGCTAGCATTGACCTTTGTTCCACGATGATATCAACGCGTTATAGGCAGACACACGCGCACGTGTTTAATATACGAATCAGCGCGATTGTCATTTATCCGGTTCGCGGTTCCAAGTTTATAGAAGATTCTTCAGCAGAAATCTTTCATTCAGAAGAGATTCCCCTGCTTTCTAACGCATCGATTCTGCTTTCGGAAATTCGACGCGAATTTTCCGCTGTCGATGCTATATAGGCCTAGTAATAGACGAGGGAGAGCGAGTTGGGGCAGAGTATCGCTGCGTCCTCTATCCGCCCTGCAAATTGCCGAACTACCGGCTAATAGATAACCGGAGGAGTGCCTAAGTGGATGTGAGCGATGCGGTACAGTCAATCGGCTAGTAGCAGCCAGTAGCAGCATACGTCTCGTAGCGCGGGCGTTTTTTTTTTTTCTCCCATTTTCTTCGATTATGCGTGCGCGCCGGGGCGGGGATATTAGCGGCTCTCAGCTATGTGACTCACTAATTTCTACTATAACACGTACGATACATGCTATCAGCGGTCTCATAAATGATCTATAGTGACTTTTAGCTTGCATATTCCGATTAGTGCAGTATTAATTTATATAGGATAGTATATATATCAAGAGTAGATATAACACATGTAGTTATTTTCTACTCTTGATATATATCAGAGGCTAATAATACATCTATATTAATATTTCCTAATAGTACAGGAGCTAATAATGACAACATTATATTGTTGTTTATATATACAAATTTTGCTTGTTATAAATGACAAATTGTGTCATTATTAGCGTGCCTGATAATACCCTAAGTATTATTATGCTGCTTAAGCATACGGTATATGTTATGGTATATGGCGTATATATTGGGATATTCTGTATATATGCGCTTGTATATGGTATATGGTATATAGGTATATGGTATATGGCTATATGAGTTACATGGTATATGGTATATGTGGTATATGGTATATTGTATGTGTAATATGGTATATGATATATGGTATATGGTATATTGTATGTGGTATATGGTATATGGTATAATCATGGTTATGGTATATGATATATGGTATATTGTATGTGGTATAAGGTATATTGGTAATATGATATATGGTATATGCATATATTTATGTGCCGTTATATGGTATCATGGTATAATCATGCGTTAATGGTATAATGATATATGGTATATTGTATGTGGTATAAGGTATATGGTATATGATATATGGTATATGGTATATTGTATGTGGTATATGGTATATGGTATAATCATGGTTATGGTATATGATATATGGTATATTGTATGTGCGTATTTATGGTATATGGTATATATTATATATGGTATATGGTATATTTGTACTGTGGTATATGCCGTATACTGGTATAATCGATGGTTATGGTACTATTTATATATTGGTATATTATCAGGACGTAATTACATAAACAGATATAATATCAGCATATTATGGTTATATACGTGATATGTATATCAAGTATATATATATTTATAGAGAGGAGAGATGAGAGAACGAGCGAGGGGAGGAGGCGATTCAGGGAAGACAGGAAGGCGAGAGCGAGAGAGAGCGAGAGCGAGGGAGAGGGCGCGCAGAGGAGGAGAGAGTCAGAGAGAGAGAGAGATGAGCGCGAGAATGCTGAGTAGAGAGAGAGAATGAAGCTGAAGAGAGAGCAGAGAGGAGAGCGAGAGAAAGAGAAAGAAGAGAGAGAGAAGAATTAAAAAGAAGAGAGAGAGAGAGAGCCGAGACGAGAGAGCGATGAGAGAGGACATGCGCGAGGAGAAAGATAGAGAGAGAGGAGAAGGGCGGAATGAGAGAAGAGAGAGAGACGCAGAGAGAGAGGGAGAGAGAAAGAGAGATCGCGAAAAGAGCAGAGAGACGCAAGAGAGAGAAAGGAGGAGAGAGGGAGAGTGAGAGCGAGAGAGCGATGAGAAAGAGCGAGAGAGAGCAAGAAGACGAGAGGAAAGAGCAGAGACGACGAGAGATGCGTGAGAAAAAAGAGAATGACGCGACGCGAGAGAGAGAGAGAGAGAGGAGAGAGAGAGAGAGGAGAAGAGAGAGAGAGAGACGAGAGAGAGAAGAAAGCTAGCGAGAGCGGAGGAGAGAGAGACTGAGCGGAAGAGAGAGAGAGCAGAAAGACGACTGAGATGAGAGATGACGAGGAGAGGAGAAAGAAAAGAGAGAGGAGAGAGACGAGAGAAGAGAGAGAGGCGCGAGAGAGAGAGAGAGAGAGAGAGAGAGAAAGAGAGAGAGATCGACGAGCGAGCGATATATATATATATATAATATATAATATAAAAGGGTGTATACTATATATATTGATTATATATATAAAGGGTGTATATAGAAGGCTTGTACTCACGGGTTACGTTCACTCCCGTCTCGTCGTGCAGCAGCGTCTTACAGTGGCGCCACAGGCCCGAGTGGCGCTCCACGTAGTACGTCTGCGACTTATTGTGATAGCGGTCCGGCAGATCGATAGAGAGCCAATAGTTCGTGCTGACCGATATCAGCATGAGTAGGAGTCCGAGCAGAGAGACTCCCGTCATCACTACCAGAATCTTCTTCTCTTGTTCGTATCCGAGGTCGAACGCCATCTTGTTTTCGCGGGAGAGTTCGTTCGTCTGCGATGGCTCGATGCTAGCGCCGCGGTGCGGCTGGTGCGGGAGAGTGGTTCCCCGCAGCGGTCCCGAGAGACGGACAAGTGTCTTTTTTTCCGGATCTGAAAACAAATTGCAGTCGTGCGACAGCTGCATAGTGTAATAGAGAAGGAAGACGGGGAATGTGCGGGGATGGAAGGAAGGCCAGCCTGTAGAGAATTCACGGAATACGTGCTAAAACCCGATTTACACAGTAAATTATATATGTATATATATATACGTGGGCGCAAACGTTTTGAATACTAGCTGTTTTACGAGCTAGTACTGTGACCCTCTGTGCAAGGTCTATGGCAAGAAAAATGTGAATTGAAAACGAAATTACTCGTGCAGATGTTTTACATTTATTCAATATGAAAATTAGTGAGTGGAATCCAGATTCATATAATGTAATTTAATTTATTGCAGCGATATTATGGAGTAAATCGATTATTAATACTGCAAGATGCACTATACGGCGTGTACGTGTGTGTGTGTGTGTGTGTGTGTGTGTGTGTGTGTGTGTGTGTGGTGTGTGTGTGGTTTGTCCGCAGTGGGTGGTACGTATCGTCGGCGTGCCGTGGTGCCTGCGGCGTGCGGTTTTTCTCGGGAGTATATTAAGAATTCATCAACATGATCTACATAATACATTGGTAGAGTACATTTATAATGGATGGTACTCCGTCGAATTGCTCCTTCAACCTCTGCATATGCCACCAATATATATATATAATATAGTATCTTTAATTATATAGTGCGATGTGCGTGATAATGTTTACATGAACACACACACACACACACCACACACGACACGACACACACACACACACACAGACACAAAGCACACACAACACACACACACGCACGCACGGCATGCCCCCAAAACGCACGCACGTCACACTCCACAACCACGACAACACACCCACGCACGGCACGCACACACCACACATTGCCACGCACCACACACGCACACAGCACATACACACACACACACACCACACACACACACCACACACACAGCACAACACACACACCACACCATTCACACATGGATAAAGACACACACACATATATATATATATATAATATATTAAGTCGTTAATTAATTAGACATAAAGGTTAGTCTAGTAATTGCAAGCAAATCTGTCACCCTTCTCTAGATTAGTATGATTTTGTATCTTCTGCTTTCCGGAGCGGAACGAGGGAAGGTATATGTGGCCACTGAACCGGCCATAACAGCACAGAACAGCGGTGCCTCGTGCGAGGCGGTACGCAGAGCTCTGCTCCCTCTCTCTCTCTCTCTCATCTCTCTCTCTCTCTCTCTTCTCTTCTCCTCTCTCTCCTCTCCTCTCGTTTCTCTCTCTCTCTCTGCCTCTCTCTCCTCTCTCTCGCTCGGCTCTCTCTCTCTCTCTTTCATCTCATCTTCATCCTCTCATCTCCTCGTCTCGTCTCTCTCTCATCTGCTCCTCTCTTCTCTCTCTGCTCTGCGTGTCACTCGCTTTCGCAGCAAGTCTCTCA